TTTAAGCTGATTATGAAAGCAAAGAAGTGATTGATGGCGAACAGTTATTTCTACCAACATCAACAACATCCACAACAACATCAACAACAACATCAACAACAACAACATCAACAACAACATCGGCAACAACAACACCAACAACAATATCGGCAACATCAACAACAACAACATTTTCAACAACGTTGGATGAAACAAAAATTTCACAAGATCTTGAAGCAATGACATCAACTGCAATAACAACAACATCAGCAACAACATCAACAACAACATCAACAACAACAACAACAACATCGCCAACAACAGCATCAACAACAACATCAACAGCAGTTAAAAGGACCAGAAAATTTAATTCATGGATTAATGGAAGTGCAAACACAACAGAAACAACAACAACAACAGCAACAACAACAACAGCAACAACAACAACAACATCAAAATTAAGAACAATAATAACTTTATCAGAATAACAAAGATTTTAAAAATTTTAGCATCAACGAAAGCATAAAGTAGATCGACTGTTCACTCATTCATCAATCCACTCCATTCATTCATTCAAAATGAAAAAAATTCCTTTCAAAAGCTTTTTCAGAATTCTTTATTAAATAATTTAATACAATGGCGTTTGAGTTTCAATGAAATTATCATCACCATCACCACCATCATCGTCATCAATCCCCATCATCATCACCACCATCATCATCATCACCACTAACGCTATCATCATAGTCGTCATCATCATCATCATCATCATCATCAAACAAACAACATCGCTATCATCGCGAAGATGTTGCTAATTATGACCTTGAAAAAATATAACACACGCACATATATACATATGAGTATATATATATTTATATATATATAAGCTTATATATATATATATATATATATGTATCAAACATTACTAAACTAATAACAATATTGACAGATATAATACTAACACTATTACAATACTGTTGTATCATAATGGTAATAATAATAATAATAATAATAATAACGATAATAAAGTCAAAATAAATAAAATAATTAATTACATAATCATATCTATGAACTGTTATTATTATGTTATTATTCATATATATATATATATATAAAGGTATATATATATATATATATATATATATATATATATAAAGGACGGTAAACAAAATTTTCTTACATTATCAAGTGATATATATATATACAACATATATTATATATATGTTATATACATGTTATATATATATATATAGTGATACATGATTGTAATAATAGCAATATAAGCTAAGTGCCCGTATGTTTATTTGTTTAGATGAGATGAATGAGGGAGCAGATGTGCACTGCCCTGGTATGAATGCAGTGTCAGCCATAATTTGCTGTTCGATTGTTTATCATATTTGATAGAATGAATGAATGTAGGAAGATTGTATGTTTGTTTGTATGGGTGTGTGTCATATTGTGTATATGTTTATTTTGGGTATATGTTTATTTTACTTGTTTGTTTCTATGTATGTATGTATGTATGTATGTATGTATGTATGTATGTATGTATGTATGTATGTATGTATGTATGTATGTATGTATGTATGTATGTATGTATGTATGTATGTATGTATGTATGTATGTATGTATGTATGTAAGAATGTATGTATGTTTGTTTTTTATTTTATTTTATGGAGCAAATAAAATTTCGTTTCGTTTCATTTCGTTTCGTATGTATGTATCTACGTATTTTTGTATATAATAGCAGTAATAATAACATCAATAATAATAATAACAATAACAGCATTTATTGTTCAATAATAAATAATTAAATACACTGCTAACATGATGCAAAATTTTACAAATAAAAACACATACATGCACTGATACTTTCATACATATACATACACAGACGTACAAACACAGATATATATTAATAAAGTCTTTCAATCAACGAGTATCATTAGATACTTACGTATCTATATTTGTATCATGTTTTTAATATATGTTTGTCGGTAAGTTTGTTTGTTTGTTTGTTTATATGTGTGCGTGTGCGAATGTATGTATCCATAAGTGTATGTCAATTTTTGTATACATTCATCAATTTGATTTGTATCACTTGTGTGCAAGTTTGTATCATTTATAGGCGCCTTTGTATCTTCTTCATGTTGCATTACTGTATCTTCTTTTGTATCCATTGTTGGTTATTGGATCAGTAGAGGATGACTATGTGTGTATGTGGTGTGTGTGTGCATTGGTGTGTGTATTTGTGTGTGTGTCGGTTCGACTCTTTTCAGTTTCAGACTCTGCATTGGTAGTTAAAGTTGACTTAGTTTGTTTATAAATTTGAAATGCATAGGGCGACGATGACGATGATAATACCATTAAAACGTTTACTGCAGTTATTACAACTACTACTCTTACTAGTACTACTACTACTACTATTACTACCTCTACTGCTATTACTACTGCTACTGCTGCTACTACTACTGCTACTGCTGCTACTACTACTACTACTGCTACTACTGCTACTACTACTACTATTACTACTGCTACTACTGCTACTACTACTACTATTACTACTGCTACTACTGCTACTACTACTACTATTACTACTACTCTTACTACTACTACTACTACTACTACTACTACTACTGCTACTACTACTACTACTGCTACTACTGCTACTACTATTACTACTGCTGCTGCTGCTACTATTACTACTACTATTACTACTACTGCTGCTGCTACTACTACCACTACTACTCTTACTACTACTACTACTACTATTACTACTACTACTACTACTACTACAACTACTACTACTACCACCACTACAAATATCAATTTTACTACTATTAAAAATAAGAACAAAGATGATGTAACAACGAAAAATTAATCAAGTTTTGTTTCTGTAACATTGGAAAAGGGCAGTGGCAAGCGATTTTGCCATTTTTTTTAAACTCTTCTTGAAAAGATCATCACAGGATTGATGTATTAATTGATAGTTTAATAGGATTACGATGTTAACCCGAGTAAGATACGAATAGCAGACAAGTTTCCTTTCACTCACTATTCTCAAATGTTACAATGAAAATATCAGAAGACTTTAATATGGCCCGACAAGTCATTTTCTCCAGGTTGTTTTCATGTTAATCTAATTTTATTGGGTTTAGATTTGACAGGATAATAATAATAATAATAAATAAATAATAATAAAATATAATTATAGCTCATATTAACCCCATTTCAAACGCTGCTCTGTTGACTTTGAACCTGACAGATTGTTGTTTTTGTTTGTTTTGTTGTTGTGGTTGTTGTTGTTGTTGTTGATGTTGTTGTTGATGATGTTGTTGTTTTATTGACGTTGGAAGTGTTGCTGTATTGAAATGGACCCTAGGTTTTTGTTGTTGGTGTTTTGAAATTTGTTGACTTTTATTAGCAATTGATGCTACCGGAAGATGTTGTTGTTGTTGCTGTTGTTGTTGAAATAATCTAGTTTGTTGTTGTTGTTGTTGCTGCAGAGGTCTCATTGTCGAGAAATGGCTGTAGTTGTTTATCTGGTTAACAAATTGTTGATGTTGTTGTTGATGCTGTGCTTGCGTTGTTTGGATGTTGCAATACTGAATTGAGCTATCGAGTTGATATTGTTGTTGCGGTGACGTCATTCGCTGTTGCGGTGATGTCAATTGTTGTTGCGGTGACGTAATTTGTTGTTGCAGTGACGTAATTTGTTGTTGCAGTGACGTAATTTGTTGTAGTGGTGTCATCCCTTGTTGATGTAACTGTGATGGTAATTGTTGTTGAATCAGTTGTTGAGGTAATTGTTGCTGTGTAAAAAGCAGTGTTTTATTTTTAGCATGTTGTTGTTGATGTTGTTGTTGATGTTGTTGATGATGCAACCAATAAGATCCTCGAGGTGGCGGGGGCGGCGGGGGAAGATGGCGATCCCCGGAAGTTGTCAAATCACTGCTCGTCGGTGATTGGATGGATATTATTGACCCTCGATCTGATTGGCTACCATAAATAAACTGTTGCTGCTGCTGCTGCTGTTGCAGTTGCTGGGTTAGAGAAAGTTGTAGTTGCTGCTGTTGTAGTTGTTGTAGTTTTTGAAGCGACTGCTGTTCAAAAGTATTTGATTTTATAACCATCACTGACAACTGCGCAAACAACAACAACGACATAAACAACAACAACAACGCCTTCATCATTCGCAACAAATGCTCACCGAACTCACTCAAACATGCATATGTTTATAAATTATACATTCGAGCCATGCATGCAGATAAAGAACATAAACAAACAAACAAACATACAAACAAACAAACACATACACACACACACACAACACACATACACACACATACACACGCGATTAGTTTTCTCTTTCCCCATGCCCGGAAGTGGAGCGTGCAGTGACGTCAGATCATTTGAGTGCGTAGTAGGGCGAGTATTTTTCTTATTTATTATTTTTCCTTCGCGTAAACCATATTTGTTTATCTATGTAGACGCATATTTCGTATTTTTTTTATTTTATTTATTATTTTTTTGGTTTATTGGGTTTTTTTGGTTTATTTTTGTTTACATATTTTGGTGAATTTATTTATTTTTTGTGTATGATATATTTGATAGGTTTTATATATGTATTTATGTATGTGTATGTGTGTATGTATGTAGGTAGGTATGTATGTAGGTATGTATGTTTGTTTGTTTGTATGTCTATATGTTTGTTTGTTTGTTTGTTTGTATGTATGGTTGTAAATTCTAATTCACACTCAATGTTTATGTTTGATGCTTATGCTGATGACGCGTCTAAATCGTTTAGGGCAACTTTTATTATCGTTCCTACGATTACTTCAATACTATTCAAATCCTGCTTCTAATATTTTCAATACTGTTCAATACAACTACTACCACCACTACTATTACTATTACTACTACTACTACTACTACCACCCAACCCTACTACTACTACACTATTATTACTACTCCCACTCTTACTACTACTGCTGCTACTACACCAACCACTACTACAAAAAGTATTATTACTATTTGGGGAAACGAGGTGTTGAAAATATGAGCTGGGATTTAAGTAGACCTTGTGTTCGGATTCCCCAAGGGACCAGTGAGAAAAAATGTTGAGCGCTATAAAAATGATGGAGAGGAAATGGGTTATTTGGTGTTTTTGTTATTTGTTGTTTTTGTTGTTGTTGATGTTGAAATTTTTTTATACTGTTAAATGGATGTATTTATTTTAACAAAATTAAAGTTGTTATTTCAATTAGTTGTTGATGTTGTTGATGTTATAGATGAAGATGACGATGATGATTGTGTAGTTGTTGTTAATGATGATGATGATGATTGTGTTGT